AAATAGATGTTTTTTTTAAAAATCATAAGTCACACTATAACAGCCACTTGACCTAGAAATAAAAGAATTGTGTCCTAAGGGCTGAGCCTCAACTATCCAGCTCCCAAGGTCACCACCTCCACTCCACTGACCTTGACTTGTGTAGAACGCACCCTCTGGTGCTAACTTCCCTGTAACATTCCTCAAGGTGTGCTAGAAAGTGCTTGCATTGGCATCTTAGGAAACCTGATAAAGGGTTTGAATTCTTGGTTTTACTACATGGTAGCGGGCACTGCAATTGGCATTTAAAATGATTCATATTCATACGACAGTTCAGGAACCATGGAGCTACAACACCATGTGGAAGAAAATTTCCTTTCAGGTGGCCAGTTTCAGAAAGACCTCAGCCCCCATGCTCACTACTCTCAGTGCCCAGAGCCAGAGAACCTTGGAAACTATCTTTGAATTTTCCAGAACCAGTTGTCCATTAAAAGAATAGTTGGACACATTCCAGCCACGTAAAATTCTTTGAATGTTGCCCATGCCACAGTAGCAGCTCACTCCACATACATGTGCAATGCCCTGCTGTGAACACCAGGCTCTCAGCCTTCAGATTTTGTGGACTTTTCTAGCAGGAATGCAGGCCTGTACAATGAAGTCTTGCAACTGCCTGCTAGGCCTGGCAACTCAGTCCATTGGGTCTAGCATTCTGGACAGTATTATACGGACTACAATAGCACTACTGACAATCGGACTATTTTTCTCCTCGAATACTATAAGGTTTACTCTGAAGCACCAAGGGGTGAGGCTCAGTGGCCCTAGAAAAGATCATGCAACCGTCTCCATCAGACTGTGAACAATTCTTCTCTTCAGGCCTTGAAGTAAGAAAAGCGACTTTGTCCAGGGGGTAACCAAGCTTTCATTTTCACTTAGTGACCACAGCTTGCACTTGAGATCCTTATTATAGCAACACAAAGCTTTTATTGAGAATGCTGCTTTTCATATGCATGAATTTGTTTAATTTTCACATCGACCCTGACACGTAGGTAACACTGGAGGCACAGAGAGGTACAGAAAGCAAATGTTGATGCTGGAAAGCGCACCCATGCAGTCTGGCTCCACCGCCTGCACCCCTGAGCATTATGTGATTAGCTACAGGCATAAGATTGGTGATAAAGGCATGCTTATCGTTATTTGTTCATTAATTTATTCAGGAGAATGGACTTCACGTCAGGTCCGAAGCTACATGCTTGGGACACAAAGTTGAGTGTTACTGACCTCCTTGCCCTTGACATTCCCTATCTAATAATGAAATCCTAAAGGGGCAATTAAAATCATTATTGCTAAGTGCTAGGGCAGAATGAGGGGTGAGGCTGTGGAGGCACAGACAAGGGGTTACACAGCCCATGGGAAGATAAGTCACAGAGGAGTTGGCATCTGAGTTGAGTCCCAAGGGTGGGGTGGGGGTTAGTCAGAGGAACTGGGGGATCGGATTGAGGAAGCAACACACACAGAGGCCCAGAGCAGGAAAGGGCAGACGTTAGGGAAACTGGGAGGTTTATGTGAGGAGAGTTTCTGTGAGTGGGGTTAGGAAGGTGGTGAGAGATGGGGCTGAAGAGGTTGGCAGGGACCTAACCTAAATGGCCTGCCATGAGAAAAGCTTAGGCTTTATCCTGAAAATAGTATCAAGCCATTAAATTATTTTAAGTGGAGGTTTTCTTTATAGCAAGAGGATACTGGTGGCCACGGGAGGGATGGTCTTGCCTGCAACTGTTACCAATCTCAAGGGATTCATAGCTTGGGGTGTTCTATTTAAGAACCAGACCTGGTTGTCACAAGGTAGCTTTATTTACTTGCAGCAAGTAAAGGAGACAGGAGATTCACATCCACAGTCTGTCCCTCGAAGGGAGGCTTAACCATTGCTTATAGACACTATTTGGTCAATTACATGTTGATTTCTTCTTTGGAGTTGGCTACATGTATCAAGTTGAGTTCCTGTTAGGTTCATCCTATTTACAGCTGGTCTGCAAAATATCTGTGCAACATTTTAACATTTAGCAAGAATAGCATTTAGTAATAGTGGCCCAGACCTTGAGATCCATGTCTTATCTAAGGCAACTCTGCTCACAGATCAGAGGGTCAACCAAGTTTAATTGACACAAGGTCTGCAAACCTCTCCTGCCCAAAAGCATATGTGCCCAGAAAGTTTGTAAAGAGTTATGAAAATGCTATGTGCATCTATGGTGTAAATGACTAAAACTGACTTAAAAAGATGCTGAAAATATGAACTGATGAGAATCAATGAAATCAACAGAAAATGTTACTGAAATGCCAGGTCCCTAAAGGCTTATGGATAAATTCTTTCAAACTTTCAAGGAACAGATAAATTCCTAGCTACATAAAATTTTTCTAGAGGATAGATTAAAAAATAAAAAGCCTAACTGATTTTGCAGTTAGCATAACCTCACTCTAAAAAAATATATTTAATAAAATACTAGCAAATAAAGTTCAGAAATGTATTGAAAAAACAGTACCCAAAGGCAAAGTAAGCTTTATTTCAGAAAATACACACATACCACATATATATACAGACTCTGAAAATAGTGTTACTTCAAAGCTGAAAATGGTTTTGTGCTAAAAGAGGCAGGGAAATACATTTGGGAAAACTCATCTTTGATCTGGATCCTGTGTGGGCCATTTAGTTGCACAAATGCCAATCAATTATTGCCATGCCTACCCCATTTTGCCTTGGGCAAACATGATCCTAAATGCAAAGATTTTAGCAGTGTTCTTTATAAAGTACATTATTTTATACGGTTAAAAAAATAAAGAGATGCAGTATAAGTAGTAAAAAGCATCGACTCTCATTTAAGATTAAGAAATGGAAGAAATTCCATTGGCTAAAAACCATACATACAAAAATAATCTTACCAGTCATTATAAAAATCCATATATTTAAACAATGGGGTCCAGTGTTTTCACACTGGCCAGGGCCCTGTGGCACTGTTTCCTACTTCTTTCTCCTTTGAAAGGGGAAAGGAAGTAACCATCACTGCGCTTTGTGTGCATTACCTCTCCGTTCCACGTGGTAACAGACTTAGGCTCAGATTAAATAAACTGCCCCAAATCCCATCGCTACCAAAAGGCTGTCTGAGCCCAGGTTTGGCAGGTTCTCCTGGGTGTTTTTCTCGCACTGTATCTCTAAGAAGGTCTCCCAGGTTCTATTCTTTGGCTCTCATCAGTTTACACTTTGTCTTCGACTACCACACTTACTATCACCTGTATGGAAATTACTCCCAGTCCCCACTTCTAAACCTGCTCCCTCTGTGCTCCTGGGCTGTGTGGCCGTGGTGGGACTTCTCGGGCATTCTGCCTAAGCTCCCTTGGCCGGCCTGGCGTTGGCCAGTCAGGAGGGGCCGTGAGAGAAGTTCTAGGGCTGATGACAAAGTAAACACAAGATGACAAGGGCAGGTATGGAGCCAGCAGGGGAGGGCAGTGCAGATATTTGCAGTCCTGGAAAGAAACAATATCCTTAAATTGTTTCGATAATTTCAAGTCCATGGTTGTTAGCATGGAAGTCTGGATGTCTAATAGTATAACCGTGAAACCACTCTGCCAATCTCTCCCAGGAGTGGGGAGGGGCCGTGCAAAGGGTTTAGCATACTTTGGTTCTCAGGCAGCTAACTAGTTGCTTAAGAAACTATTAAAGACACATTTTTTTATTTGTTTTTAGAACACATGGAGACAGTGATTTTAAATTTTCTTGCAGATACATTTTTTAGGCAAATGCCTTAATAAAAACATACCCCTGCAGCACCACAGGGATCACCGCTCGCCATTTGGCAATGCTTGTTTTCTTTCCAATGAAATGAAACTGATGTAGTCAAATAACTTGAATGAGCAGTTCAAACAAGACATCCTACTAAACTGCAGAAGGAAATGAACTATTTCATCCACATGAACAGTCTTGTATGTACTCATCTTCTCTGTCCAATGATACATGTAACGCATTTTACCTTAAACCAGCTTTATAATAACTTATATTCTTGCTCTGCAGGTTTGAATCTGGCTTTCTAGAACAATGGTTAAGAGCTGGAATATAGATGGTTATTAAAAACATGGATTTTTTTTAAACTTCAGGGTTCCTATAACAAGTGGTAAAGCTGTTGTAGGCAGAACCTGAAATGCGGTCCAGTGGTGTAACGTTCAACACTGGGACCTGCTCTATCAAGGGGCCACTCCCAGCTCCGCCGGCAACTGTCTCCCCCTCCCTTGTGACCGCAGCTTTCACAGTGGGCATCTTACCCTCTTTATTTTCAAAGGCTAGGGCTCTTTGAAATTTGCCTAGCTATAAAATTTTAAGACTTACATTCAACTCTGTTAATCATTTCTTAAACATTAGGGTTAGAGGTATACTTTACAAACTAGGAAGAATGAGCTTGATAACTGGGCCAAAGTGTAGATGTGGAGCCGGGGACAGACCCTTTCGCAGTCTCCCCACAGCCCTTCCCTGGGGTTGGCTCTCCAGTTAAGAGTATTTTTCTTTCATGGGCTGGTGGTAAAACAGGCCTGGGAGTGCCCCTGGCGTGGGAGGAGCCTGGCCCTGGTCAGTGTGTGGGTGCAGCTTAGTTACCTCAAATTTAGGTCTTCAGTAGCGATGCCATTCCATTCCTTTCCCAGCTACTGGAGCCGAGGCCAGGCTGTGAGCCCAGGTGAGAGGCGGGCCAAAGGTGCCAATGGGTCTTTTCTAAATGTTTTATGGGCTAGTGTTTCCCAGGTCTGTCTGCACAGTAAACAATGAGCAGAGCTCAGGCCCCACTCCAGAATAATTAAACCAGAATCTCCAGGTAATTCTAACATGCAACCAACATGGAAAAGCCCAACTTTGAGCCATAGTTGCTCATTGCACAGGTAAAAGGAAGATTTCAACCAATACTTCACAGAATTGTTCTGATAATTCTGATGCAAATGGCGAACACGTTAAGATTATTTATAAAAATATAAAAGACAGGAAACAAAAATGCAGTAGTGCTAATGTTTTGATTGTATTCAAATTTTTATTTTTTTGAACAAAAAAACATAAAGACAATGATTTTAAATAATAAAACATGGTATATTCTAGATACTTTTTAAAAGACAGTTTATTAAATTTGGACGCCTACAGTTTTGTTGTGATGCTTTCTTCAACATTTATATTATTTCTTACCATTTTATCATCACTCTAAACTTGCTAAACAAAAACAAAAAAAAATCACTGTCTGCTCAGACGAAGCTTCACTTTAAGGAAATCCTCCACTCCCACGTGAAACACACACACAGAACAGTCACGTTTGATATTTACAAAACACAAGAAGTCTGTCCAGCCATTTTGGTTTTGTTGTTCCCTTGCCCATGCTGAGATCAGCAAAAAGCCAAGTAATAAGCGAGATTTCACTTCAGCAGTGCAAAGGATGGCATCAACCAAACTTCATTCAACCAACCAACCAAAGTTACAAATGTGGTCGGCAAAATTCAACTCGTATTAACAGTGATTTAAAAACAGAAACACGGAGTGGGTCACAACTAGACTGGTTTCACTTGTGCAACTTTCCTCAGGGAACAATAGCGCCCATTTCACATAGGAAGGGTACGCAACAAAGCCTTTGTTCATGAAGAAGGTGCCCTTCAAACGAGTTCATCATAAGGCAAAAGCAAAACGAGGACGACAAAAGGAACGAAGCCGTCTGGCCCAGAGAAAGGCTTATATGTAATGTGTATACACGGTAGATACACAGTTACAGATATATTACAATTTAAACCACGTACAGAGTCATTGGACAATTAAATGAATTGGCTCAGTGCAGTGAAAAAGGGTTCATTTTCTATAAATCGTAATTATTGCTAAGATGCTACACATTAAGGTTTGACATGGAAACTTAGTAACAGAATTAAAGCTGCCATATTGCCAGTGTCAGCCCCGCAACAGGCGTTCATATGGACAACATGCCATCCCATCCTAAAGAAGAGCAAAAATTCCACTACCAAAAAAAAAAAAAAAGAGAAGAGAGAAAAAAAGGCTTATGTTATGCACTGTCCCTTACATATTTGCTTATTTTTTTAAAAACGAGAAACAAGTCCAGTTCACCACAAGTTAAGCACAACCTGACAAGCAAGTTCAGCGGCGCGATGGGCGGGAGGGGAACCAGCATGCATTTACAATAGCACTGCCCTAGTCTACTTTGTCATACAAACTGGAATACAAAAATCCAATTTAAATAAGACTAGACTAACTGTAATAGTAAAAAAAAAACAAAACACCCAAAAACAAAAAACGAAAAAACAAACCACACGCACAGTAGACTTAGTTGATACTGATTAATTCTAAGAGTAAAACTCATCCTGACCCCTCTTAATAACCTACTGCAATTTCTTTGTTGATGCTAGAATATGTACGTACTTAAAAAAGATACTAAATACCTGTAATTACATTCTTTTTAACAGTAAGACATACTGTGTAAGAAAATAGCTCATGTGTGAAATGTGTCTGAAATGCATTTTTCCTCACAACTATCAAAACATCCACTCACACTAAACCCCCCCAGCACCCTTCCCACCCCCCCAAAAAAGGTAAAGGGAGGTGGGGTGGGTCAGGGGAGGGGCAGGGAAGGACAGGTTTACCAGCACAGTGATTAACAATGGTTCAAGACAGAACCAACAAGAGTTGGTCAAAAAGATGCCTTCAATACATGGCTGTGATTAGAAACCAAACTCAACCACTTTGGATTCATTGCAGTGAGACCAAAAAAAAAAAACCTCTCTCACAGATTTATAGAAATACTAGACTCCAGCTCTTTCATTATTATTATTATTTTTAAAAGTTTTTCTGTTTGTTTTTGCAAGGCCTAGCTACCTTGTTACAATTTATACCTGCTCTGCAACAACTACGAGAGGTAGGCACAAAGCGTGAAAAAGTTTCCCGTCAGTACCTCGCCGTGGATTGTTCAACGCGCAGCTCCGCTCGCCCTGCGCAGGAACGGCGGTTACCTTCCAGTCTCCTAAAGCCGGGAACAAAGCCGCTGCCACTCCGTGAATGGTCTACAGGAGTACTCACAAGCAAGAAACTTTCTCTACTGAAGGGTGCTGTCAGTGTTTGCTGCAGAGCACTTACATATATATACATACATATACATACATATACATATATATATACTTTTAAAAAAACAACGAAAACCAAACCCAGGTTCCTAGAACCAATTCTTTCGATGCTCTACTTCCACAAAATAAAGTATACCATTTGGCCAAGACTACAGGTGTGTTTCTCTTTTTTTCACAGATGCAAGTGCCATGCAAAAAATAAATTAAAGAACAGATACCAAAACATACATGTGATAAAACTACTGAAGGTAGGTCTTTAAAAGCATTTATATAAACATAATTTATAATACTTCTCTTTTCTCCTGTATGTACAGTCCCAGAGCTGTAGTTATACATCTAGGATTTCCTCTGCGGTGCCCCCACAGCGCAACCTGTAGCGGCCAGTTCTCCAGCTTATCGTAGGGTCCCATAATGCCGACAAAAAAATGTATATTGTCATGGATTCGCGGATGAACCAAGCTACTGCATAATCAAGTTTTGAGAAACACAGTGCGCCGCCCTAGGAGTTAAAAAAAACAAAACTGATTTACTGTCAGACTAAAGACATAGTCAAAAAATAAAATTCTTCGAATTCACTCTCTTTCAAGTACACTACACAAAATCAAGTCTGCTTCTTCAGATAATTTAACTGTCCTGCTGTATTATAATGGTAAAGAAATTGTTAATTATGGGTAAATAAGCAGCACTGAAGAACGGCTAGCCTAATGTATTCTGAGTTTGAATATTTTTTATTTGCTTAACATCTTTTTGTTTTGTTTTGTTTTGAGCCTCAATAAAAGTGACTGTATAGCCGACTGAAAGCTTAAAATTAAGTTTTGTGTCCACATTCCACTAACAAAAGGAATGTTTAAACCTGATATTAACCTTCAGTGGGGAGCTAGCTGATTTTTTTCTACCTTTTCTAAATTAAAAAGTGGTGTATTTTTTTTTAAATCCTCACCTGAGGACATGTTTTCATTGATTTTTTTTTAGAGAGAGAGAAACATCAATCAGCTGCCTCCCGCACACACCCTGACCGGGAATCACACCCGCCGCCTTTTGGTGAACGGAACCACGCTCCAACCGAGCCCCCGGCCACGGCTAAATGTTTTTTAGTTCCACCAAATGACTGCCAACCTTTTCATGCCTGTCCACGTACCTGGACACCCCTGAGTTGAATGTAGTCAAATATAAACCATGCCAGGCAATGACACATGAAAAATACCATAATATCCCATCTGAATACATGGTGGGCTGCCCATCCAATGATTAAACTGGCAACAAAGCATTCTGAAATCGGCTCACAAATTATTGTCGCAGGAAGCATGTTAATTCGTAATTTGGTCCACCTTAAAAAAATTTAAAAAAAAAAAGGGTTTTCTTTAAACAATAGCTTGGTTACAACATTAATCAATTTTTTCCCAAAATGATCAGTTCTTTACCACGTTATATAAAGGCCCACCTCTTCAAAGATTATTTAATGAATCTCTCTTCTATTTTTATTTAGTATATGTAAAAAAAAAAGTCTAGAAATTTATTTGTATGGTCTATACTCTAATAAATAAAGATTATAAAAAGATTATAAAAATAAAGATAAAAAAGTGCAGAAAATGAGAAATCAAGATGAACATATAAAAAAATCCAAAGTCTCAACATTTTGAATGCTTTCAGTGTTACACAGTAAAGAGAATATATTTAGACATTAAATTTATTTTAATAAAAAAGCTAAACTTTCTTTTCTGGAACTAAAAAATCTGACTTTCAGATTTATTTTTAAACCAAGTTATACCACATAAAATTGACTCCCCTCCCCTTTTCCTTTAACAAACTATAAAAAGAAGAGAGCTGCTGACTCACCTGATCATTCTGGATTGAAACTGAGAAATTGAATAGGAACCAGAGTTTTGCATGGCAACTTGAGTGGACATTGCAAACCTCCAACCTCTGAAAATTAAGACAGTTAGAAAATGAGCTGTGATGATGAACACATGCAAGCGTGACTGGTTATGCATTTACTCATGACTGTAAAGAGTCACCGGGGTGAGTCTAGCACCGGGATTAGCACCCTACTCAGGATACACCACACTCACAGATGTTTTAGCAATTACGCAGGCTCCTGATAATACCATTCTAAGGGCTGGAAGAAGCTGCAACCCCTCAATTTACAATTTAAGAAACTTAAGAGACAGGCATTCTCAGAGTTCTAAATGGAATGGTTCTGTATTTAATAGTTTAGTCTCTGTCACTACTAACCAAAAAAAAAAAAAAAGGGGGGGGGATGCATGTGTGTGGACACTCAACAAGAAATGTAAACAAAAAGCGATACTGTGCATCTCTTACGAAACGCTATGAAACCATAATCATGAACACCATCCATGAGAAAATTTTAAAAACATACTTCAGTGTTTAAAATCACATCTTTAGTAAATTATCACACAAGGCAAGGATCCCCTTTAATAGAAAACAGTATCATGCTGTGATAGGGAAACGTTAAGTCGATTATGTGAACCATTAGGTGGCTTCTTAGCAAAATCCCAAATAACCTGAAAATTTCAAAATTTGAAATAAGGTTCTTTAAATTTTCACGTACAGGCTTATGACTACACTGATATTTTTAATTCTTCTAAAACACACGGAAATTTACACCCATAATAATGAACATTCACAATTAAAAAGACTCTTTCAGACACTTCAAACCATATTAATCTGAAGAACTTAGATGAATGAGAACACTTATGTCTTCAGTATATTATTATCTACGAATTAATAGAAATTACTTTCTAAAAAGATTGGCCTATTCTGTAGTCACTAGCGAAAATAAAATCCATGGTTTTAACAAACAGAATAAACCAACAGAAGTTAGGTGCTAAACATACTGTAGCCTAACGTAATTTAGTTTTCTTACCGGTCAGCTATTGCTTTGGCCATAAAGTAATCTTCAGCAATGTATTGAGCAAAAGCTATAAGCCCTCCTGCTTGATCTAACACATCCTTTCTCATTAAACAAGACATTCCTGTTACACATTTGAAACCAGTTACATTGGCAGAGATATAGGACCTTGGATGAGAAGTTCCGAAATACACCTGCCAAAAGAAACAAAAAACACAAACCCAAAAACATACGGATATAATTAGAATTGTAGGTATAGTGTTTATAAACTTACTCCTAATGATTTTCCTTTAAGCATGATTGAAAGAATATCCTATTATTCTTACATAAACTACCTGAATGAAAATCGGTACAAAATGATGTTTACATATACCAGGCATTCAGTAATTTATCTGGTTGACTACTGTCATCATTATCTTATTCCTTCTTTTTTTTTTAAATTTATTTCTATTGTTGAGAGTATTACAAATGTCCCCCATCTCCCCCTCCGCCTGGCTGCCACCCCACCTCAGGCGTTCACCACAGTGCTGTCTGCGTCCAAGGCCTCTGCATAGGTGCATATAAGTGCTTTGCTTAGTCTCCCCCCCCAGCCCTTCCCTGAGATCTGTCAGTCTGTTCCATGCTTCCATGTCTTTGGACCTATTTTGTTCATCAGGGAAAAGTATATTCTATTCTCAAATACAAATTATCTTTCCTAAAACTGCAAGATTCAAAGAAACTTAACTTAGATGTCAGACAGGTGAAAATATCATTCACTGTCATATAAATATTAACAAATATTTAACATCCTGCTTGCAGAATGTTCATGGAACTACGCACTCACCCCTACATATATAGGTGTATGTATGTGTGCATGTGTGTGTATGTGTATACATGCATGAACACATACACAGACACCACCTATTGTTCTATCAACCTACAGGGCGATCATTTCTTAACCCCTTTTCTTGTATCCTTTCATAGCTGCCTGCTTCCTACCCGAGTCACTGAGCTGCTCAATTTCCCCAATTTTATTTTTCAATATATTTTTCATAAACAGGGCAGGCACTAAAATTGTCTCCCATTTTACTGCCCTTTCCCTAAGCATACTTTGAAGTCACGAAATATGCAAACTGCTAAATTAAGGGTAGATAAGATGGTCATCACCCTGCTTATTACACATAAAACCCTATTTATTATTTGCATCTTAGATATGCTGCCTCTTCTAATTAGCTTGAAATAGAGAGCAGTGCTCTTTCTCAATGGCAAGAGTTACGCACACAGCATGGAGCAAGAGAATCATCAGGACAATTAAGAACAGGATTCTTGCTACCTACCCCATGTCCTGACTGTAATGAAGCCCTTTGTGGTACTGAATTGAACCAAACTTGTAAGACCAGAAACATACATCTTAATTCCTTAAACAATTATTAAGCGAGTCTGAGGAAGGAGGTGAGACTAGGGATTTGTTGGAGGCTCCAAAGATTTCTTTATAGGATGGAGGGCCTCCTCTGCGGCCTATTTGCACTCATTCTAAGTATGGTAGATTAAACCTAAACCATGGGGGTGGGTGCCAAATGGGAGATGTGTATCACTGACACAGAAATCCACTTGGACGCTTCTAAAACAAAAACACAGTGTGGCATATAAGAATAAAAAAGGATCTTATTTTAAAGGCACTACCCAGATTTCCCTTTACTAAACAAAAATTCGATAAGCGGAAAATTAATCCCATCCAAAACGTCATCCCAACTCTCAGAACAGTCTCAAGCTTCTGGGCGATTAGGAATCTAACAGGAATATTGTTGAGGCCCATCAACACTTACCTGCTCTAAGGTGGCGGCAAAGCCCTGTCGGTCTGCGACGTAAGGCAGCCCGTGAACCAGGCCCACCTTCTCCGTCATCTGGTTGACCATGTCAGTGAGCGTGTCTGGAAATACTACGGGAAGGAGACAGAAAGGTGACAAGGGACGGAGAGAAAACAATTCCTTTCAGGAAAATGCCCACTGATGTAAAATATATTTTGTGAGTTATTAGATTACTAAAAAAATTAAAATTCTTTTTTACATTTGGATTTAACAAAACGAATCTCCATCACTTTTCTGAGAATAAAAAATTTCAAAAAGGCTTAATTTGATACACTAGGTTACTCTACACATTTTTAGGCCAGTATAAACCTCATATGGAACAGAGGCGGGACATACTATGAAAACCTGGCTACCCCCATTTCAGGTCCCCCAAACTGGAGTAATGGAAAATGTGTCCTAGTCAAAAGCCACAGGGGCAGAGGTCAAAGGTCCAGTTCGTAGGCTGCTCTCGCTTCTCCAACCACAGGAAATGCGCCTGCGCTGCCCTGGAGGGTACGCGTCCTATCTCATAAGACTGCTGACAGGCCTCAAGGAGAATTCTCCTGGACAGATTCTGTGCTGAAAACATAACAAACTCACGACACTATAACTTTAGATATTAAATGTGATGAACATAATGTCTGATAGGTATGTAATGATCCTGACTTATTAGGAGTGCCCCGTTTCTATTCATTTTTAAACATTCATTTTAAGCTAATAAAAAATTTAAATCATTGTCCCACCTTCAAAGGGCAAACATATCATTTTACATGGCTTCTTTTTTTTACAAAATGTTTTGACTGACTTTAGAGAGAGAGAAACGTCAACATGGATCAGCTGCCTCCCGCAGGCCCCCTGGCGGGGATTGAGCCCGCAGCCCGGGCATGTGCCCCGAGCAGGAACCGAACCAGTGACTTCGTGGTGCATGGGTAGACATTCAACCACTGAGCCACACCGGCCAGGCTTTTACTTCATTTCTATTTCCTTCAAGTCTTTAAGAAAGAAATCTATTGTATAAAAGTGTATCTGGACCTTAAATGTGTATATTCTATGGCAGTGGTTCTTAACTGCTGCCCTGCAGGGGACACCTGGCACTGCCTAGAAACATTTCTGGTTGTCATCCTGACAGAGGGGTGCCACTGGCATTCCGTGGGTGGAGGCCAGGGATGCTGCTGAACATCTTGCAGGACAGCCTCAGCCACAAGAAATTATCCAACACAAACATCAACAGTGTTGAGGCTGAGGAACCGGAGGTAATTAGAATATAACAGAATATTACAGAACACTGAAATTACAGTAAGTATAAACATTTAGAGGTACAAATTATAATTTCAGTATATGAAAGACTTCCTGTTAAAACCATCTAAGTGAAAAGACATAAATGCCTTCTAGTAAAACAGCTATAATTTCTGTCCCTTTTGTGTGAGATAGTATATTACGTGTGCCACAGACAGATCAAAGTAAAAGGTAAGTGTCACATGAACAAGGGAAATTTACACCTATGAGAAAGCATAGTGCATGTATAACGGACCATGACTATATTTTTTTTAATGGCTGAAATGTTCTCTTCAAAATGAACACATTTTTATACATGTAACAATCCAGGTTAGCATTAAAAAAGTAAAAATCTTAATATAACTTGACATAGTACCATGAAATAATGATGAAATGAATGATTTTATCAGGCAAACAAAAAAGGGTTGATACATTTATTTTCATATCACTTTTGGCATTTTATCATCAAATGAATAGTTTCATAAAATAAATAAGAAGAACCTCACCTCTTATTCCACTATCACAAATCCAGATAAGATCATATTTTGCAATTTCATATCCTGGCATTAGATTATTAATTTTAGGGTTAATGCCAACCTTTTTGCCACCTAAAAATGTAGAGGTACAGCAGTGAAAAATGAATTCAACATTGAAAACATTTTCTATAATACAGACACATGGTAAAGAGAAGTGAAAAGTGCTTGCATATTTAAGAATTCAAACAAACATACTTTAACATTATGTGTTACATTCCTTATTATTCACAATAATATAGTTAGGGAAAAACTGTTCATTCTCAAAAGAGAAGTATATCATTTATCTTTAAAAACTGATCTGTTTCAGTTTTCTAATCCTTAAGTTCTTATATTAATACTAAGCATGACTCCGTATTTATTGGAAAACATACCTCCACAAAAGTCTTTAGAATAAGCCCACAAACTTTTTGGAAAAATACTCTTTTTGCAATAAAATAAAAGCTAATTCTATTGCTAACTCTCAATTACAGTGAATGAGATACAGAAAAGGCCACACAGGAAAATATTAAAGAAGCTTAAATGACAGATCCTTATATATATGATGAGTTAAACATAATTTGGAGGGGTTTTTTTTGTTATTTTGTTAATCCAAGATATGGGAAAAAAAAACCTTTGTTTTTATAAATTAAGTTTTTTCATAAGGATATAAACACCTTTTACTACTTCAACAAGTATGCATAAAGCAAACATGCCAATAACTTCAAGGGGTTGCTGACACCTTAATCTATAGTTTAAAGCCAAGATTACTGCCACCTAATACTATTATAGCAAAATGGTTTTCGTAGAATTTGTAACTTACCTATAAACAACCTGGCGTCAACATTTGGATATTTTCCAAGCAGCTTCTTACATACATCAATGGCTGGATCGTCATGATCTTGTACACAAAGGAGCACTTCATACTGGCCAAAGGACACATTTTATGTAAATTAACCTCTTTTAGGAAAAGAAGCACTTACGAGTGTTTACTGATTATCAGAAAGCATTTAGAAAAACAAGCAGTTGCACACGCAGTTTCCAAGTTAAGAGAGTGTTCGTAGTGGATGCAAACACCTACGATACTAGGTGCTGCCTGGGAGTGAGAGCAGCGGCCCCAGACGGCCTGCGTGCGGCGGGAGAGCAGAGCCGGGTGCCCGCGCCTCAAGGCCCGCGCTTCCCGGGCCCGGCCTGGAACCCGAGCCATCTCCAGCCTCCCCAGGCCCCTGGCCCCGCGGCTCCCGGCCGCTCACTCGGGGCCTGGCAGCGCGAAAGGCAAGGCGGAGCAAACGGAACAGACACGCCCTCCATCCCTAGGACTCTCGGAGCTTAGGGCCAGTCCCGAAGGCGCAAACACCACGCTGAAGCCCAACGGGATAAGCTGCAGGGCTCTGCCAAGCTCTTCACGTGAAAAGGGCAGAGATTAGATTTTTTGGTTGTATAATAATTTTTTGAAATAAAATTGGATTTGACTTGATTCAAAATGTAGCATCCTGAAAAGAATGCTTAGCCTTTTAAAAAAAAATGTTTTTATTTATTTTAGAGGGAAGGAGAGAGAGGGAGAGAGAAACATGGATGGGCTGCCTCCGGCATGCCCCCCCCCTACTGGGGATGGAGCTGGAACCGGGGCATGTGCCCTCCCGGTGCAAGGGAGGAAGCTCCACCGACTGAGCCACACTGGCCACACAATGCTTAGCCTTGTAACTATGAAAAAACTCAGATGGGGGTTTTAGTTTGTTTTTTGGGTTTTTCTTTTTGCTCAGTGCTATGTTTACTCTTTGATAGTAAGTTAAGGAAGTCATTTCTTAGCACTTAACTGGCTGTGTCCAAGTTACCCTGACATGTATATTTTAAAAAGAGAATACCGGGCCCCATTCTTAAGGCTTTCGAATCAGAATCTCTGGGGTGACTGTGACATATAACCAGGTTTATAAAATTTTGAGCTGTACGTTATCACTTAGTAAACTACTAAATTAAAAAAAAAAATGTTTGCTTTCACATACAAAGATGCTACTTTAGTATTTTGCGGGATATGCATTCTAAATAGTAATTTTTTTTTCAGAAGTGGTGATACATTCACGCTGACTCAATGACAAAATTCCCACTAATCCTCTTTCTGAAACAGGCTCGACATTTTTTTAAGTAAAAAATTATTTACACACACACAAAATAACAAAGCTGTATGTTGTAAAAAATAAAGAGCTAAGGACACAACTTCTTAAGTGTCTAACATACAAGGACTAACTCGGGTAAAGGGAAGGCCTATTAATCAATTACTGTTTCCCTAATATATAGTATCTCAGCAAAAATTAGCAATCTAGGAATCAGTGGTTTGTGTGCAGGAGACAGGACTAAGGCCCGTAGAGAGGCTAATAGGTAAGGCTTTTTTCAAGTGAAGAAAATGGTTTTGTTCCCATATATTCTACCCAATATCTACCTTTAACACTGACCAAATTGTACTGAAACCAGCTTTACAGCTTCCTAGTTTCCAGAGATCAGATAAAAATCAGAGAAGGGGAAGGGCCCCACTCCTGCGGCACCCCTGAGATTTCCCAAAGGGTCAACTCTGGGTCCTGTAAAGTGTCAGCCATCATCCCAACTTGACTTTCAAAACAGTGTTTGGCTGAGCCGCCAAAAGGCATTGACCTTAACAGTGAAGATTACAAAGGTTAAGTGACTTTCTAAAGAGTAATAGTGACAATTAGCTTTCCTACTACAGTGAGCTGCTCTGCCAGGCTTGCTCTAAAGAGTTCCTTGTTTTCCCAAACATAGCATGGTTTCTTTAATGTTTTTATAATTTATGCTGCTCTGCAGGTTATGAGTGAATACAGTGAAAGGAAATGTTAATAAGCAATAATACAATTCCATAAAATAGAATTAAAAAGCTAATTTTAGCCTTTTTTTCCCTCAGGAGAAAACTTTGTAAAATACAGTACTAAAAATGTACTCTATGGGAAGGGAAAAAAGCTACACTAGGTTATAGTAAATTTTTTGAGAGGTATATGGTGTTACTATGAGGGAGTATGCCTTTATTTAAATTCAAGGTTTAAAGTTTTTATTTATATTGACTACACTTCTTAAACTTAATTTCAAAAAAGAACAAATATACCTTCTGATAGGCCTTGGTGCAAATAAAACTCAATTCACATTATCAAAAAAATGTTCAGACTTTTATTACAAAACACATAACTTTTGCTTGTTTCTAATACTGAAAATTAGATTGTAACCAGGAATCTTGGTTTTTCAGCTATGACAATTACACCTCTGTGTCTTCGCAGCTTGACCAGACATTTATTTGCTAGGACTCCCTGTATTTGAATAGTTAAATCACTACAACTACACTACAACTGGTAAAACCCTGATATTAAATTGTTTAAAGACTTTCTGAGCTGAGACAAAAAAAAAAATTTTCAGATGTTTTATACTATCTAAAGGATTAGGCATAAACATATATGTTCAAAAATACACTGTTCATTAAAAATATAACACCTCCTAAATCTGAAAGGGATATAAGCTACATAGTAAATTCCACTATAAATGGATACAGTATGAATACATAAGATCTAGAAATAAACCCCAGAATACTTCAGATGAGGTAGCCTCCATCAAATCTTTAGTAAGTTTGCTACACAAATAGCTAAACTGACGAATATTCCCTTTTTCCCCCCCAAATAGTGAGATGACTAAAGAACAAGAGAGGTGTAAAAAGACCACAAGTTGCGATTTAGCCCTTTAATATTTAAGAACTGAATATCTGAAACTGCAATGATCATGAACGCTTTTTCCTGCCTTATGAATAAAAAGTAATATTACTAAAAATATTAGATTTAGGTGTATACATAACATTAGAAAAACTTTCCTGCCCTAGCTGGTTTGGCTCAGTGGCTAGAGTGCGGGCCTGCGGACTGAGGGTCCCGGGTTTGATTCCAGCCAAGGGCACGTAGCTCAGCTGCAGGCTCGGCCCAGGTCGGGGCGCTTTCAGGAGGCAACCCGTCAGTGTCTTTCTGACATCAG